GATGACTGAATTTTGAACCCTGAAATCCTTGGTAATACAAATGTTCATTTGTTGCAAGCATGTCCCATATAAAGAATTCACCAAATATTGATAGAAATGAGGGAGAGATTTCCTCACTGTAGCAAGAATATTGAACAAGATTTAAGGGAATTGATTAGCAGACCATTAAGACAACAGTTTATGAATGTTTGTTTTCAAGATAGTTTGTATAGGAAATATTATAGAACATAACAAAAACCAAGAAAAAGTCATGTTAACAATTACTATGAATCTGAAAATGAAAAGCACCGGGAGCATCAAAGTGAAAAGAATGCTATTATTGATCAAATAAGAAGTGGAGAAAACTTCAGAGATAAACCTGCCAAAGGTACAATTCTTAAAGACATCATTGAAAGTAAAGTTGAAAGAGTTAAGGATTTAGAATCAAGGATAGAGGAATTGGAAGATGAGATGCAACAGAATGAGAAGAAATTAAGCAAGCCTTAATAGTTGGTGAAAAATGAAGTAAAAATCAAGCAGAAGATATAAAAGAAAAAAAACAAGAAACTCAAAAATGCTAGTGAAAAGATTTCTTATCTAGAAGCCCAAGTTGAAAAGTTAGAGGAAGAATCAAGTCAAAAGAACAAAAAAATAGAAAAACTATGCAAGCAATTAACTGATAGTGAATCACAAATGAAATTAAACAATAAACCTTTACCTTCATTACCTATAAAAGGAGAAAACAAGTTGTCTTCAATTAAACAGAGCATATTTAAGCAGTTAAAAAACAAAAGCAAAAGTTAAGATTCAAAAATTACAAAGGCTAATCAAAAAGGAAAAATTTCACAACTAAGAAATGATTACTCAAGTAGAGATTGAGTCTAAATAACAAGTAAAATTACAATGGGAGAACTGGAATACACAGTTTTAGAATTAGAAAAAAAAAGTAAAAAAATTTGTGATTTTTGCTCTAAATTTGAAAACAAAAATAATAAATCTGTTCACCAAATAAGATCTCATAGCAAAGTAACTGGGGAATGAATTTTAGATGACAAAAAATTATAAATAATTTGAAAAGCATATTTTCAAAAATTATAAAAGAAATAGTTAAAGACAGAAGGTGTTTATCAAAAAAATTATTTGTATTCGGTGGTCAGAGCTTTTGTTTACGGATTTATTTGTATTATCTTGATTATTGTGGTATGTTGCATATACACCCTTTTTTCATTTACTATGAAAAAGTAATGATTTCATTGCTAATAATATCATTTTAGGAAATTATCAGTTAAATTAAACACTAGTGCTGTAAATTATGATGATGGTAGTAATTATATTTACTGCATATAAAAAGTGGCTGCAATTACCTTTGTGACCACTTTTGCAACCATACTTTTTCCTTTTTTGGATTACAGCACTAGAAGGTGTTTATCAAAAAAATTATTTGTATTCGGTGGTCAGAGCTTTTGTTTACGGATTTATTTGTATTATCTTGATTATTGTGGTATGTTGCATATACACCCTTTTTTCATTTACTATGAAAAAGTAATGATTTCATTGCTAATAATATCATTTTAGGAAATTATCAGTTAAATTAAACACTAGTGCTGTAAATTATGATGATGGTAGTAATTATATTTACTGCATATAAAAAGTGGCTGCAATTACCTTTGTGACCACTTTTGCAACCATACTTTTTCCTTTTTTGGATTACAGCACTAGTCTTTAGGTTAAATGAAGTTGATAGTGCTAGTTTACCACGGGAATTTTCAGAAATGCAAGATTTTGTATACTTTTATGAAAGTATATTAAAATGGGCAGTATGTATAAATGTAAAATATTCATGTTATAACATTAAACTTTCACTAATATATATCATCTACAAATTTAGCTGTTGGTCAGGAAGTTAAAACATCCTTTGATGAAGCAAAAACTAAACCAAGACTCTCACATTTTTCATATGTAAATGCTCTTCTTCGACTAGATGAGTGATCGTAAAATTGATTGGATGTGTAATTTCATTATATTATACTTTCATTTAAATATGTAGATATTTTGAAAATATAAATTGCGAATGAATTATGTATGATTCAACTCAATGTAATTTATGGTTGATTGAAAAAAGATGTATACATTTATGTGATCAAACTTCCAATTAGCAAAACAATAAATATATTTAGAGCTTTAACTTTTTTCTATGAGCACAATTTTTGAAGATGCTCTGTAATAATTCATATGGGCACATTTATAATGGGTAGACAAATAGAGAAGCATCATTAAATTGACATGAAAGCATATTTTATGATTACGGATGTTAGATGAAATTGTTTCTCTTAGTAAATGATCTTTACCAAATCCAAAATATAGAATTAATTTGTAACAATTCCCAAAATTATTGGTCACAAAGTAATTTATTAGTATAATTTTATTTCCACATTTTGCAATCTAGAAATTCATTAGTAAATTTACTTATTTGGGAAATATGATTTCGAAGAATTAGAAATCTTAATATTAACATTATTGTTATCATTAGTATTTCATTATGTATTTTGAATGATTATTATTATTATTCATATTGCTAGATTGAAGAAAATACAACTATAT